AGGAACCAGTTTTGGTTGTGGCAAAGAGCTGAAACTCTCAAAGAAGCAACCACCAGTCAGACTGGGTTTGAGTTCCTTCTAATAAATGGCATGGATGGATTTGATATAATAGGAGTCTCATTCTCCCCGATGGGCCAATTCTCTTTCCAATTTACAAGATGGAGCCATGCCTTCTAAGTCTTCAAAAAACATTGCCTCCTTGGAGCAGAACAAAATGGATTGCACATTTCCACAGGAAAAAGAAGAGTAAGCGAGAATTTGAGAGAGTTCAGGAAAGAAGACCGAGGAAAAGCAGAAAGGAGGGGAGACAAAGAGGAGGAGGGGACAGTGGGAAGGATGGGGAGCAAAGAAGATAGGACAGACTTGGTTTGAGTTCATTTTTAATAAACGGGTAGGTATTTCAAAGCTGCATTGTTTATTTTGTATTGTGAATGGGGAGTGTTGAATCTAAAGGCCATGTTTTCCTTCAGATCTTCTTTAATTGCCTTTATGTCTCAGCATCTTTATCAGGAACACTCTAAGTATACTGCATTCTGTGCAAGCATCTCTCCTCGCAGCACAGTAGAATGTAGGGAATGCCTGCAATTTAGCCTGTAGCTCTGTTCTGGGAAGGGCAGAGAACCGAATAAAGAACAGATGAAGATTTTGGAAGATCCTGGCAACCTGTCCATACCATCTCCATACTAGTTGCTATGGTTTAAAAGAACAGAGTGTTCTTGGTGGTTTTAGGATGTCACAGCAGCTGCACTCAGCAGAAACACAAAAAAGCATTTTTAATATCTTTAAATAGTAACAACGTATAATAATGATACGGCACGGATCGATTTATAATAAACCTGAGGTTTTCTTTTATATGTGTCCTTGGGATTGCAGCCCAAAGCTGACCTTCATTCTGTGTGTCTATCTGCCAAGACTTTTTGATGTTTTAATCACCAGGATTTTCTTATATTTAGAGTGTGGCACCTTTAAGTGAACACTCTGGTGGAATTTCTGCTTTTCTCTGGTTGTTGTTAAAAATGCATCAATTCTACTTCCAGGAATCTGCCCAGTTTATGGCTGAGGTTCCCCAGAGTGTTAATTCACCTTGCTATGTCAGCAGCCGCTCATTGATCTGACCTCTGGCGCTCAGACCCTGCAGGTCGCCTCCACTTCCCTGCTACCCAAATACATTTTCATAACTCACAGAGTGACTGCTCAGCCATGCGTCACCTTCCCAAACATCTGGGAGGATGAAACCACAGAGCAGTTCTCGCTAATACCTGCATCATTACCAACCACTTATGGGCCAAGCTGATCTTCCCTGTGCATTAAGTCTTATTCCAGGCGATGGCATGCTAATGGATGATGGAGGATTTGATATAATAGGAGTCTCATTCGCCCCAATGGGCCAATTATCTTTCCAATTTATACGATGGAGCCATGCCTTCATAAAGCACTGCCTCTGTACAGCAGAACGGAGAAACGGATCGCACATTTCCACAGGCTGCAGAAAGCAACAGGGAATGTTCTGTATGTTGTGACTGCACTGTCCACAATGTCTATAATTCATGGTAAGAAATGGCATATCATATCCGTGCGTGGGAGAAGGATGGAGGAGGAAGAAGAAGAGTAAGGGAGAAATGGAGGGAGATCAAGAAAGAAGACTGAGGAAAAGCAAAAAGGAAGGAAAGCAGACAACAGGGAGGAAGGAGGGAAGGAAGGAAGAGAAAATAAGAGAGAAGGTAAACAAGAAAGGAGGGAAGGAAGAGAGAGAAAGTGGAGGAAGGGAATAAAGAAAAGAAGAAAAGGGAGGAAGGAAGGGAAAAAAGGAAGGAAGGAAGACAGGAAAAAGAGTAAAAGGAAAGGAGTGGAAAGCAAGGAAGAAACAGAAAAGAGAGGGAGGAAAGGAAGGAACAGAGGAGGGAGGGGAAAAAAGCAGGGAGAAAGGGAGGATGGAGGGAAAAAGGGACAGTAGGATAGAAGAGAGGAGGGAGAAAGAATGTAAGTGTGGAAAAGAGGAGGGAGAAATAATTAAGGATTGAAGAGAGGAAGGATAAAAAGGGAAGGATGGAAAAGAGGAAGGATTACAAAAATGAAGGATGGAAGAAAGGAGGGAGAAAAAAGGAAAAATGATAGAGATGAGGGGTTAAAAAAGGAAGGATGGAAGAGAGGAGGGAGAACAAAGAAAGGATACAAGAAGCAGAGGGAGAAAAAAAAAGGAAGGATTGAAGAAGAGAAGGGATAAAAAAAAGGTATGATGGAAGAAAAGTAGGGATTAAGTAGGGATTAAAAAATGAAAGGATGGGTCGAGAGAAGGAATAAAAAAAGAAAAAATGAAAGAGAGGAAGGTTTCAAAAAGGAAGGATGAAAAACAGGTGGGATTAAAAAAATTAAGAATAAAAGAGAGGAGGGATAAAAAGGAAACATGAAAGAAGAGGGAGGGAGAAAGAAAGAAAGAAAGAACGAACAAACCAAAGAAAAGGAAGTTGGTGACATGAAGACAAAGTTTCTTCCTGCATTGTCAGTGCAGTAAAATCATAGCACACAATGACAGAAAACATTCTAGATGAAAACTTCCCCTATTGTTCCATTGCTGTGCATCATCTCCATCTACGTACACCGGAGAAGACAGTACATTATGTTTTTCATTTGCATACTAGTTAAAAACAGAATGTAACAATAGTGTTTTTCGGAAAGAGTTGCGACCTGTCCTCTCCTTGAAAATTATATGGTGGGACTGGATTCTGCTTTCCTCTGATTGCTCGGATTGTGTTCCGGAACAATGGATGGAATACTGAGTATCATTCTCCCTTTTTATTTGTTTATAGAGAATTGAGAAGATCAGTTTCTTCTGATTTACCAGCTTTTGTGACTCATGTATTGCTGTATCTTAGTGACAATGGCATTTTTGAGTCACATAACTATTTTCCCTTCGGTTACAGGGATAATTTGGGGAAATAATGTATAATGCGGGTTCTTACTTAATTCACAAGGGCTGGAATGAACCTTAAATGTATTGTAAAAGTATGTGAATAACAAAAGATATTTGCTTAAAAGTTTGCATTGGCACAAGCTGACAAAAGAAGACCTCAGTTATTACTTCTTAAATCATATTTAAACCCAAGAACAAAATACGTAAAATTGTATACTTACCTATCGGTAATTTTCCTTTCCTGACGCCAATACATGGCAGCATACAGGAGCCATACCCATTGTATGCTGCCATGGATTGGCGTCAGGAATACGGAAAATTGTATACTTACCTATCGGTAATTTTCGTTTCCTGACGCCAATACATGGCAGCATACAATGGGTATGGCTCATTGTATGCTGCCATGGATTGGCGTCAGGAAATATAATATATTGCATCTTGCCAGCCCATAGATGTGGTGGCTGCATTTTTCTTTTTTAGGCTTTTTATCCTTTTATTGTCACCAGTTGATACTGTCAGTAATAGATTTCCTGCACTAGGGTGACAACAATCACTCACTGCACTATATCCATGGAGGAGCAGAATTGTCACCCTATGTATAGTATGTACAAATTACTAACAACAACATACAAAGCTCCCAGCTACATCTCCAACCTCATCTCAAACTGTCCTCTCCTTCCAATACCTCCTGCTGTCTAGGCCCCTCATTACCTCCTTCCATGCTCGCTTCCAGGACTTCTCCAGAGGCTCTCCCATCCTCTGGAACCCCCTATTACAACCTATCTGGCTATCTCCTACTTTGTCTGCCTTTAGGCAATCCCTGAAAACTCACCTCTTCTGGGAAGCCTATCCCACCTCCTCTTAAAAACTCTATATCTACTCCGTCAATCAGCTCATCCCTCACAGTTCTGTATCACTTGCCCCTTCTTGTAGATTGTAAGCTCTCATGAGCAGGGACCTTCTAATTCCTTTTGTATTGTATTTTACTAGTACTGTCTTCCCATATGTTGTAAAGTGCTGTGCAAACTGTTGGCACTATATAAATCCTGAATAATAGAAATAATAGTAATAATACAAATATAATTATGTCACTGCCCTGCCTTACAGCTTGTTTTTACTTTTGAAGGGAGATAAAACCAGATAGGCATATGTCCAATGGCGGAACTACCAGTCGCAGTGGTCACATGTTGGACTGGGGACTGGAGATATGCAACTTGGGGGGGCCTGGAAAGCAAGAAGAGAGCCCGACACCCCCCTGCCTCTTCGCTTGGTCCTGATAACCACCAAGGCGACAAGGGACTCCTATGACACGTTAGACAAACAGTGGAGGGCTATCTGGCGGCCTGCTTTCCACTTATTAGGCCTAGCTCTCCCCCTGGCTCGCTCTCTCAGCTCCACCGGCTCTGTGTGAGGAGAACACAGCTGGTTACCACCATCAAGATGGCGACTGCCGCTGAGGATGTGCCACTGACACGCTGAGAGGAGGACCCTGGACCGTATCAGGGAGAGAGGGAAGCAAAGTTTGTGAGGTTGTGTTGGTGTGAAGAAGGAAGGTGCCTCCTTGTGTGTGACAAATTTGGGGGGCCCTGTATGTTTCTGGCACAAGGGCCCTGAGATCTCTACTTAGGTCTCTGCCTATATCATACTCTCATGGACAGCAAGGCCAGCAATCCTGGCACGAACAATCATATTCTTTGCAAGCACTCGCAACTAAGTCATACATTTCCTGCCCAAAAACCATTGAGTGCAGAAATAACTGACCGAATCCTGGTAAACAGATATAAACAGATATAAACCCTTTTACAGAAATATTGCAAACACCACCCAGAAAACGTAATCGCGGCCCGAGCTCGGGAACAGCTGCATGAATACCGCTGTATGCGCAATTAAACATTGGATTATTGCTGAGACACAGCACAAGCAGGGGGAAAAGCAAGATTCATGGTTATTACTTTCTCGCTCGCCTGGTAAGAAAAATAAAGCCAAGCAGCATTGCAGCCGGTCGCATGTGGACATTAACTGTATTTGAATCATAATTAAACCTTTTGTTGTGTATCGAGAATATTTGAAGTCAGCGTGTAGAACTTACCCAGGACGCTTAGTTCTGCTGCGGCGGTGCTGTTTTCATTCTTGTAGGTGACCACGCAGGTGTACACCCCAGCATCGTCCTCTGTTACATTGGAAATCAGCAGATTACTGCCTCCCAGCAGCGAGTATTTCCTCGTCCTGAAATATTAAACAAAAATTTAAGAACATATCAGGAAAGCAATGTGGTTCTTGCTGGTTGCTGTACAAGTAAAAAAAATAAAATAATAAGGCTTAAAGGATATATAAACCTACAAACATTGCAGCTTGTCAATCCTTAAAGGAAAACTATGGGGTCAGGGCTTTTTCCCCATAGTTCTCCTAAGTGTAACGGGAGGACACAAACTAGCGTCCTCCCGTCCCCCAAAGCTCAGTATATATAGCGAGCTACAGCTCACGGTATACTGAGACGCCACAGCCGGGACGGAACCCGACATTATTGTCTGGATCCACCCAGCTGCGTGAGTGACAGCTGGCTCTGCCTATCTAGAGGCACAGCCAGCTGTACCCGCCCCCTCCCCTGTCCGTTCCGCCAGTCAGCGCTGGAGGATTAGACAGGGGAGGGGGGAATCCCTGCAGGGAGCTGTGAGTGACAGTGGCGGCTCTCTGCAGGGACAGGATCAAAAAGTGAGCGAGCGACGGTATGTGTTTGCTCACTTCCCGATCTATTGAGCCGACCTGCGACAGTTTCATCGTCACAGGTCGGCTAGAAAGATGAGGCTGAGTGATTTTCACTCACCTCATAGCTCCCCTTTAAATGTGGTGGCTGCATTATTATGATCTTTTTATGGGACTTTTACATGCCATAAGAACCGAGTTGTTTAGTTGTACTTAATTGCACGCACACTGGTTTCTATCAACTGCTGGCTTGAAAAACTTTTTGGGGGTCAAAGCGGAAAATATCTTATTACAGAGGACAGCATAACAGAACAATAACCAAAACCTATAACATCACAACACACCGTGACCTATAATCATAATACTCAGCAGGGCTAAACACGACATTAAAAAAATAACAGCAAAGATTGATTTTGATTACAATCAGACTCAAGGGCGAAAAAATATCTGTTGGAAGATGTGTCACCCTGCCTGGTTATTTTGTGTGCTCATACGAGAGCATGAATCATTCCTTATGACTGCACTTATTTGATTGTTTGGTGCTGGTAGGTTATCAAATGCTCTCTGCCTCTGTGTCCTATAATTTCCCCCCTCCATAGTCAGTGAGGTGTATGATGCTTCTTGAGAAGCACAGTCGTTTGCGCGGATGGAACAATACATTACAATCAGAATTAATGGCATCTTGAGATGCAGGTGACACATGTTATCTCTTGCGCATTGCTCCGCACCGCCATTACACCTCAGAGCCTAAATTTCTCAGGATTTGTAATCGTTGAAAAATAATACTCCGGAATTCAGCCGACTTCTGACAATACTGAGAATGTCTGGATAGAAAACAAAAAAAAAAAAAGTAACAGGGCTGAACAAACTCTGCTTATGGTTTCGGGCCCTTTTCACGCGCAGATGTGCACCAAAATCATGTGATTTGGTGTGTCTTCACGAAACGCGTGAAATTGCATGTTATGTTTGCGTTGCCATTCAATGTTAATAGCACCACAAAAGCAGCAAGCAGGATGCACATTTTGCATGCCCAAAAAAGCATGCAAAGCTGACAGCTCAAACAGCTGCATGAGCTTCTTTCAAATGAATGTGCTGTCCTATGCACGGCAAGCGACAAACTTGCAGAATCGCATGTAGCAAGTGTGAATGAGGCCTCAAGTGGTAGTAAACCCTTAAAAGACAAAGAACAAAAAGACAAGAGAGACAGCACCTTCTACTCATGTGTTATCGTTTATTAGACCAATATATATAGGTGTAATAAAATCTACTCACATACAAAAGATGTACACATGCAGTGCTCTGAGGAAGGGGTTTGCCCCAAAACGCATGCCTGGGAGGTTCTTGGCTTGATTTATACACTGCATGTGTACATCTTTTGTATGTGAGTAGATTTTATTACACCTATATATATTGGTCTAATAAACGATAACACACGAGGAGAAGGCGCCATATCTCTCGTTCTTTGTCTTTTATATGTTTCCCGAGGATATTTCTCAATAGCCTTTCGGATGGCTGCCTCTCATAGTGTGGAAAGATTTGAAGATTTCTGATGGGAAAGGGATGAAGATTTGCCGTTATTTGTGCGTTATTTGGTGCTGGGATTAAACCCTGCAGTATGAAATAACGTTTGTATGTACATGCATTTGATCTGTTTAAAAATGTAAATCACTCCTATAAAAACTGCTTGTAAAGGTTTTTCATGCCCATAAATCATCCCCCAGTCTCATGTACAGTGCGCACAAATGCTCTGATGGTGAAAACTACACATCCCATGAGTATCTGCAGCCATTTTAGAAGTCTGCATGCACCCGGGGTTTCACTGGTATTCTGCTTTACTTATAAAAGGCAAGGATGGGCTACGCTGTCAATCAAGCAGCTAGGGAGGATCAAATGTCCCCTTCATCTCCAGACTATGTGTGCCGCCTGTACATATTGGCATTTGGAAAGCAGAGACAGAGCGCTGTAGCAGGAATTGCTAGCACAAGGACCTTCATGTCATGAAATTTTTAGAGGAGAACTCCATGAAATGGAAAAAACTTACCCTTGCAGTGGGGCTACCTGGACACTGCAAGGGTTAAGTGCTCATTTTGTCTTGGGGGCCCAAAAATTACTCACTTGATCCTCTTGGGTCCTGCAGCCTCTTCTCTCAGGACTCTGGTGGTCTAAGGACGTCACCACGTCTAAAACAGGTCCATTGATTTGCATTAGACGTGAGGATGCCACAGGACTTTCCTCAGCTGTAGTGGAGTGGAAGAGAGATGAGTGGCGACCACTGCAGGATTGAGGATCAGGATCAGTAAATCTGCTTTATTTGACCCTCCTAGACAAAACGAGCAGTCAACCATTGCAGTGCAGGAGTAGCCCCACTGAAAGGGTATGTATTTTAAATTCCTGGAGATCTTCTATAAGTGCTTAGGTTTAGATACACCATAGGGCCTGTTTACATCTTTGTGTTGCGGTACCTCACGCATTTTATGATGGCATGCAAAAACACAAACCATGAACCCTTGTGTGCATTCCATTCATTTGGCATGCACACAATATTCCCCAGCACGACAGTAGGGAACTGCAGAGCACTGTATTTTAAAAAATGGTCACATCCATATTTTTTGTGTTTTAAAGTGCTGTGCCAGCCTATCCAGAGTGAATGAGCTGCCCAAACACATGATAAAATGTTGAAATACTGCACGTGTATTATTGCAACACATAGGATAAGGGCTGATTTATAAAATGCTAGCCCAGTGTATAGCTGGGAGAATGAAGTTCACACGGTATTACGACAGTGGATGGAGCTGAGGAGCATAGAAATGTCCTGTGCTCCGTGACTCCATCTAGTGGCTGTAATGATGTGCAAATGTCATTTAACCACATATATGCTGGGCAAAGCTTTTATAAATCAGTCCCATAGCATGAATGGGCCCTTGATACAAACATTGGTTATTCTCTAAAAGCTCTGAAAACACTTTTTATAATTTCTATACACTGTTGAAGTTGGGTTACACGGATCCATTCGATCATTATCACATTTAAAATAGGGTTAAATCCTTATAGTCCTGATTTAAAGGGTTATTCCACTTTCCCAGGTAAACCCCTCCAATCTGGCCCCCTCTTTCCTCCCCCGCTATACTTGCCTTTCAGTGAACACTCCTTCCCCTCCGTTGGTATGAGGATTAGCAAGAAGCGCTTCTCATTGGTTAGCTAGGTCAGGTGACCACTCTGATCAATGATTACTCGCCATTTGCGAGCGAAATTTGCAACACATAGGATAAGGGCTGATTTATAAAATGCTAGCCCAGTGTATAGCTGGGAGAATGAAGTTCACACGAAGTCCAAAATCCAGAGTGCAGGGATGCTCTATATGGCAGTACAGGGTGCAGATAGTACACCTACACCGGCGGAGGGAAGATTGGATGGGGTATTTCCATTTCCCCAAATTCACCTGGGAAAGTGGAATTACCCTTTATTGCCATTTATAGAAGTCTGAGTTGTCATAAAACCAATAAAACGTAAAAGACTTGCCTTGTCAGGATGAATTCCTCCCCATGCATCCAGAAGACGGTTGGCGTCGGGTACCCAGAGACAGCACACTCGAGGACGGCGTCCTGTCCTTCCACAACAGCTACGTTGGAAGGTCTTTGCAGAAAGATTTGTTGTCGGTGTAAGCCGGATTCTGCAGACAAGAAAAAACGGTTACTTCCTCTTAGAAAAGGAAAAAGCCCAGAGTGTGCATTATGATTTTCAAACTGTGAAAAACATCATTTGTGCTCCTAATCAGCCTAATTAGCTCCGTATGATTGGGATGTTCGTGAGGATTTCTCAACAGCTGAAAGGGTTTATTTTTGTCTTTATTGGTAGGCGGTGAGGCGGTGGTCACCTGATGGTTTCTGGTTGTTGTTTGCTCATTTTTACAACCCAAAATTAGGATTTTAATTTACTTATCTCATGGGTCGGTTGAATTCTAAAGTTGTTATTTATTTTTTCATCAGTTTGTATGTAATCAGTTCACAATAGAATACCACACAGGTTTTTACAATGTAGAGTGAATACCTGCTTCATCATGAAGGCCTCATGATGAAACAGGTTCACTTAACTTCCTTCATTCCCAGAAGCCACAACTTACCTCCAGACCACTCCACTGAGCTGCAGAGGTTGAACCAGATAGGCCTGTAGACTAATAATGAGGTCTGGCTACCATGTAAGATATGGACATAGAAATGGAGACCTCATCCCACCCAAAGCTCTACAAAGCCTCCGAGCTCCAGAACTCAGAAAATAACTTATTAGGATAGCGAGAAAACAATGTTTTGTTCTTATCAGTCATAAGCCCTGGAGATCCTCACCATCTTACTATCTCACCAGCCAGTGCCTCACAACAGATAGAAAGATCATACAGGGCATAAATAGAACAGATAGAACTGGTGGTAGAACTCCTGGTAGAAGGAATACTGAATGGAGAGATATTCTACAAGTTCCAGCTCTTCTTACCCCGTTCTCTAACTCAAACAAATCGGTTTTCATTATGTTACAAATCAATAATATGAAATATGACATGAGCTGAAATAACTGGGATAGGTGGATGGACATAATAATAGATGGACAGACTGATAGATAGATAGATAGATAGATAGATAGATAGGATAGATAGATGTGTAGTGCTCACCCCAGAAGAAGTCGCTGGAATACCCGGGCCATCCATAGCCTGTCTAGGGTATTTTAGCAACCAGCTGCCCCACTAGTATTAACCGCCCTCTTCTAGTGTCCAACAGAGCTCAGATCCAGGCTAAAAGTATGATGCTAAAGAACTTTTATTAGAACTCTTGGATAGGGAGAGAAAGTTCAGGGCTTAGGACATCCATGAGAAAAATGGACAGACTCCAGATCTAACATTCCCTTTTAGAATTCCAGTGCAGATTCGATAGGGGCACACGCTGACACTGGGTATAAGAGCAACCGTTGAATAAGGATTGACACAGAATCTTCCGGAAGAGAGACTTGCTCTTGAGGTCCACTCTATTCTAGGCACCTCCAGCAGTCATCAGCTTCCCTGGTTCTCCTCCTCAATCAGAAGCAAAGCCTCCTCCAGGCTTGAGGCCTAGAAAGCATTTCCTGCACAAGAGTATTCCCACCTCCAGGCCTAGGCCCAGGGGCACGCTGGACAAAACTCCAACCAGGACTAACACATGGCTGGAACCAGACTAGACTGAGCACATGGCAATTCCTCATAGTATATATGCCCTGTCCCAGCATGCACCACTGGCGATGAGAGCCCCAGTGTTTGGCTGGCGGACTGCACTTATACTTACAGTGTCCCTCATTGATTGTCCCACACTGCAGCAGAGTCACACTCCATTCAGGCAGGTACAATCAGTGCCAGGACAGACAGACAGAAAAAGACAGACAGACAGATAGATAGATAGATAGATAGATAGATAGATAGATAGATAGATATAGAGACAGGCTCTCATTAAACCATGAATGAGGCGGGGACATCCAGGAATAGTTCAATAGATAGATAGATAGATAGATAGATGGATAAATATAACCATTTTCCAACTACAAAAAGCCATAGATCAGCCCCTCCACTCCTCTCACCACCACCATACTGTATATCACTGTCTAGTGGGGTAAGAACTGTTGTGTTGGGCAATGTCCTAAGACACTCTCTGTCAGCCTTCCTCTCTCAGACTTCTTTAAAACCATCACTGTTACCATGCACACCGGCCCAAGAAGCCCCTTACCATCTGTGGGCTGCCGTGCCCAGCCTGGCATTCCGTAGAACAATGCTGTTTTTTGCAACCATCTCTCCAGCTCCGGGATTAATGTACCATGTTTAGCTCTATAAATGCTTTTACCGATATCCGCAGCCACATCACATAATTGCCCAGTGATCCGTACACAATTTTTAAATTGCAAACCCAGAGTTTAAACATCAGGTCAACAAAACAGCCCGGGCCAGAAAGAAAAATAATAGTGTGTAATAAGCGGCACACAGGAAATAATGGCAAGAGGTTTATCTGAAAGAAAAGGGAGCACACTGTGGATAAGCCGGAGAAGGGAAACACGGTACACAGCCTTCCACTTGCTCTGCCACACTATGATGGCCTCAGTTCATTACGGGATTAGGCTGAATAGCTTCTATGTAAAGCAGCACAGTCAAAGTTGAGTGATAATATAAATATGTTTTTTCCTGCGTTCGTACTGACCGTAGTCATTCC